ATATAATTTTACTGCTCCCTTGGCATATCTTTATATCGGGGTTCCAACGTTGCGAGCTCACTTTGCAAAGTCGCTGCCAATGAAATAGGATCACTGGGTGCGACTGACCGATTTAAAAAAGAAAAATTATTTTCTTTTTCAGTTTCTCATGCTGTGGCTTGTTAGTCCTGTTACCCGAAGACAATATTTTTTCCATTAAATTTATCTTTTGGAAATGCGTGAAGGGACTAGATTGCTTTAATTTCTTTTTGTAGGTCACCTGTAATCAGTCTACGTATTTTGAGAATGAGCTCTCTTTGGACGAAGCCTTGACTAAAAGGGAGCTTGCTGTTTTCGGAAAACCTGTAGACGAGACACGGTAAGACATTGACAGTGTGAGAAATGAATTGTAGGCTAAACAGTGTAGTATTCTATTAAACTACTTGAAGAAGAAAATTGGTTTTAGGTCGCCTAAGAAAATACTAGGCTAGTCGTTGTATTACCGGGGCGTCTGTGGAATAGAGATGTCACCACGTAACTCTTAGGCGTACGGGCCGGGGGGGCGAGGGGGGCTGCAGCCCAACCAAATTTAGGGCAACTCAGATTTTTTGGGCAGCAAGAGAAAATTTGGCCAAAGCCTGTCTTTAAAGACGTCTCCATGTTTGTTTAATTATTTTGAAGACCTGAATATTAACCTGAAGTCAGCGTTATAATCCAGTTACATTCACACGAGACGGTAATCGCCTAACATGTAATGAGTAATTTACATATTTATTTTTTTGTTATTGTTAGGCACCGTGCTGCACTGCACTAGCTGGAATAGGCTATCCAGTCGTGAATTGATTAGAATAAACTTTCGCATAACTTTCTAGAATCATCTCCACTCGAAGAACAGGGTGGGTCCGAAAACGAAGGAGTGGCTGACTAATTCTCAGTTTGAATTACGAGAAGAATCTTAATTCTTTTAAAAAATCTATCGAGTGGTTTACAATTATTCGCTAATTTGTTAAAGTAGACCGAAATGTTTACAAAACCGCTAACAAGAGGGCCGCGATACATACTAATCAAATCCTTCTTTCTAGCAATCGGGCAGAGCTATCTCCACGATCTTTCACACACGTTTTTAAAAAGATTAAAACTACTATGAGGTGAAATTGCATGTCAAAATCGCTTCGTTTTCCACAGATAACGGCCGAACCTCAAAATTTTCCTTTTCTTACCGTATTTCTAACGGTAAAAACTTCATCCCAAAGTATCTCGATAAAGCTCTTACAGATTTTTCTTAAACTTTGCAAAGATCGAGAAGACCGTATTGACGAAAAAAGCTCCTGTGAACGATTCTGTAAGGTTGCCAGTGCCGAGAATTTTTAATTTTGCTTAAGTAAAATAGGTAGTGGCGTGATTTCGATGCTATGACAACTCTGATGTCATTGCAACCCTGATCATAACAATTTTTTTTTATTTACTGTGGTGGCAATTTTTCCTAATGTTTGTTTATGGCGACGTACCTGGTATTGACCCTGAAAAACTGTATCGAGCCAACTTCACACGCCAGTACGGCCTATGTTGTTGCAATATGGCTCCCGTTTCTTTTCTATTCTTTTGTAAAAAATTTGGGTCACTTGCGAGAATTTTTTGGGCAAATGGTTTAACGCCTCCCCCCCCCCCCGCCAAAAAATTTTCCGTCCCCCAAGCCCCGTACCCTATTAATTTTTTTCCCAATTTTTGAAAATCCTTAATTTTTTTTGGTCTTAACGGTTTAATAAGCTTAACCCCCCTCTTACCTGTAGCGGGAAAGTTGTGCAAACCCAAGCCCTAGTTCTTTGGTTACCCCCCCCCCCCCCCCCGGCAAAAAATTTTCCGTACGCCTATGCACGTAACCTATTAATTTGTTTGCCATATATTGAACATACTTAATTTGTTGTGGACCTAACGCGTTGATAAGGCTTACCACCCCTTTACCTGGAAGCGGAAAGTTAGCACATACCAAGTCCTTAGTCTTTTGGTCAAGTCCTTAGTCTCCTTAGTCTTTATTGTCTGACGTTTACCCCTTGGTATATCTCGTCATGGGCTTCTATTACTTCAAAAACCCTCCTGGAGTAATAACCAAATCAATGAACAATCTTTTTTCTCTTGAAATTGCTTAGTCCTTTGAGTATGTTTTGCACTGTGGTCACGTCCTCTTTTCGTTAAAGAGTCGCGCCAGCAGATTCAAGTGCGTTCTTCTATAATCTACTATCGGAGGTCGCAAATTGAACTTTGCTGATGCAGTCGAGGCACTGCAGTGTAGTATTCCTTGTATCGAAGAAAGTCTTCAATGCTATGGTCCTCGCTTTACCAGAATGGATGTTTTTGTGGGTTTTTGGGCATAGAAGCAGGCATTTTAACTCTTGCTAGGATCTATCCGTAAACGATCTTCTGTGTAGCTCTTACCTCTTGTAACAGGGTCGCCGTGGCACGGTGATTAACTGTTCTTTGACTACTTCCTTCATGAAGAACAAGGATGTCTCGCAGCTGTAAAATTTCATGTATAAGCTAACATGTCCTCCACGCCCATGGTGATGAGATTCGCAATCATCGACAATTAGGAATGTTCTTTGTCACTAAGGCAATATTTTGAGGTGGACACCGACTAAACAGTTTTTCATCTGAGGTATATCTCTGCTCTAGAGTCCTTTAAAGCTGTAGTTCAAGACTCCCTGTGGCAAAGCTGAATGGGGTTTGTTCAAGAACGTAGCCTTCATCACTCCGTCGGTCACATAATATGGTTCTGAGACTACAAAATCACTCCTCACTCTGGCAGTCATGGGCATCCAAACTTCACTGTAATTTTCCCGAGACCTTCTCGTCTAGAGTGTCAAACCCCGTATCTTTGAAATATTCTTGCAACTGCCTTGCTGCGAAATACGAAACGGTTTAGTTAGTGTCCATTGTGTCACTCATTCAACCCATAATTTTTACTGAAGCTGCATTCAAATCCCTCTCTTGACGTTTCAGTTAGACAAATTTTACACGGTGTAAATTAAACCCTTGTATTCAGCTGACCAATTTGTCTACTATGTACTTATAGTCTATGAGGTTTTGAAGTAAATCAAAATATGGCGTTGGCAGTGATGGAGCCATTTTATGATTGACGTCCAAGTTGTTGCACTGGTAATTATATGATTATTTCCTCTCATGACTCTTAGGGATTTTTTTTTTGTTTATCACAAGGTGGGCTATTTCACCAATTGCTGTTAATGCGTACTATGATATGTTGGCAAACAAGATGGGTGAGTGTCACAAAAACTTTATCCTTATAAACTACATACGTCTTTATTCATAAATTCACAATGAACAATTAATTAATTACAAGTAGTCCATCTTTATAGATGTTTGACTTTATAATGTGCAGGGCCCGGTTCCTGAAAGGCCGATTAGAGTTAATCTAACGGCTCTGTGGAACTTTGTGCAACGACTCAGCATTAGCCTGCGTAGCAGTCGTCGAAAGGGGTAGGGGCCGTAGACTATGAAAACTGGGTCGGGTTTTTCAAAACTCGGCGAGGATAACGCAGGGTTATTGTTATTATAGATAACAATTATTCACCGAAGTGGAGGTGGCTAGTGGTGTATTTTAACGAAGGCGCGTAACGGCGACATAAATACCACCACTAGCCACCGACACTGAGGTAAATAATTGTTTTAGTATATACTAAAACGGTGAGATAATTGAGCACAAAAATGATGATTTTAACTCATTTACTGTTGGCCAACGATTATAATTTTGGCGCGCAATGACCGAACGGCCGCGGTCGTCGCTTTTTCTTGCCGACAAATGAAACTTTTGAAGGCATTTGTTTAGCTCTTGCGGGGAGTTTGGATTTGTGAATTCTTTTTGTATTTAAAATCATTCTGTAAAAAAGATTATTAAATTTAGTTTTAAGCTTATTTATGAACAATGAACAAGTCAACTAAATAAAGTAACGCAAGACTTAAGCTTAATTTGCATCGGTAAACAAAAAACTTTTTCACCGGTTCTATCGATAAATTCAAGTCAAAAGGACAAGGCTTTACCTGTTAAAACTTCCAAACCGAACTTCGTCACCTTCTTTGTGTATTTCGGGAACAGCTTGCTTGATTAGTTGTGAAATTTTCTTTTTTGTTACGGCAGCAAACCGGGAAGGCATTTTGCTTGCATCTTACTCGAGTTTGGCGTCGCTCGCCCGGAGGAACTAGAGGTGAATCAGTGAATAGTTAACAATTATTCTTTGAAATCGAGGTGAATAGTGGCAAAATATTTACCGAGCCGCGAAAGCGGCGAGGTAAATATTCTTAAAGCCACTATTCACCGAGATTGAAAAGAATAATTGTCTTAGTATACACACACGAAGTGATCTTGACAATATTAAAAAGTAAAACCATTTAAAGGCAATCTATTGACATGTCAATTCATACCTGATGAATGCACAGTGCACGCGCAAGAGTTATTTACAGAAAGTTCAAACGTGGTAAATCTCTGCTCGAGCTTTTTTTTCCACAAAATGTTTTCAAAATGCTCAAAATGCGCCTCACGGAAAGCCTAAATTAATAGTCTGAACTGAAAAAAACATCCAAAATCCTCTTTTAAAGTTTACTGAAAGTGGAAATTGAACGAGCAGTTGGAGAAGGAGCCACCAGAAATGATGCCATGTGCAGCGTTAGTCGACATGTTTTCTTGAACAAAAATGTTCTCCTGGTTCATCCATTTGTGGATGTGCCTGAGTGAATTGCTTTGGATACTGTCTCCAAGGGAGAACGATTCACTTCTGCTAGCGGGTTAACGGCGACTTGATGGTCAGGTCTGCAGAGGTTAATGAAATCTGTAATCGCCGAAGACATATCCTTGAACTGCTCGAACGTTGGACAATCGTTGTAGGATCCCAAACTTGCATCGCTTTTGTGGCCCTTGACTGCTCTGATGTGGCGATTTTTCATGTCTTTAGAAGACAAATATTTACGGTGGTCGACCTGACGCAGTGATTTGTGAAAGGAGGATCGATACCAGCTCGGAGGCACATATTCTTCATCATGCTGTCGATCGTTTTATGGCCTAGAGGAAGTGTTGAATACCAAATGACATAAGAAGACGGTTTAAATTTAGGACCAGTTGAAGGCTTCTGAAAGAGTGCTTCACATTTTGGATTTAAATGGAACAGGTAAGCCTTCACTACTACTACTGGACAGATAGCGAGCCCTTTGCCCTCGAACATTTTACCATCGGATGGGTCGTCGGTGCCGTTTAGACTACCTTGGTGATTTTTGGTTGAAAAGACTCCTCCTTGCGTTTCTCTGTTAAGCTTAAAATATTCCAGGCCGGAATTTGGGTTTTGGAGAGCTTTAGGCTTGATTTTGTCAATTGACGCTGGTTTTCCCTTCCTCTTCGACCAAAGTAGGGGGTTATAAAAAAACCACGCTGTTTGTTGTAGCTTTTGTGGATCGAGGCGTCTTGCATCTACTAGTTCGCCGGCTTCGTAGAGCTTTGAAACTGCTTCGGTTGTTAGTGCGGGTTTGTGGACTGTAGAACAAATTTGACCTGACTTGCTCAGAGTTTTCAGAAACGAATTTAGAGCTTTGTTTGCTTCCGTGAACTGGCTGTCGCTGATTATTGAAAATGGCTCGTTGTGTGGCTCGTTGCGCAAGTGCCGATCAATGATATGGCGGCTCTGATCGAGGTAAGGATTGCTTTATTGTAGTAACCTCCGTCCTGTTTTCCTCCAGACATATAAAATTTCTGCAAGCATTTATTTAACTCCTCCTTGTTCATCTCTTCTATATCTGTGGTAAATTCTTCTTGCTGGGAAAACCAATCTACAAAGAATTTACTCATATTGTAACAAATTTTTGATGTGAAGAGTTATGAATGTTACTCAAGCTTATTGGCAGTTGTCAGCAAAATAAAACCCCAAACACTTTTTAACACTTTAGAGTCTTCTCTTACCTTTAAAAACTTTCAGTCCATACTTAGTTGCCTTTTTTGTATTCTCAGGCACAGCCTTGTCTTGTATTTGTAAAATTTCTACTTCTGAAACTTGAGCGAAACGCGAGTTTACGCCCGCCATTTTGTTTTTGTTTTCAAGATCACGAATTACCAATTATCCACTCGCTCGGAGGTGAATAGTGTTGAATAGCCCAAGATAGCGAACCAATCAGATTGCTTAAAACACCAAGATCACTGAGTGTGTATATACTAATGCAGGATATTCACTGATCGAGTAGCCAATCAGAGCGCGCGAAAAACACTATCCACTGTTTTAGTATATACTAACTAATATTATCCGAAAAAATGCTTTTGGATAAAAGAAAACGAAACCGGGATTAATTGTTAACCCATGGTTAGCGCTAATCGACCTTCGAAAAACTGGGCCCTGGGCTTCAAATTTCGCTTAACCTTGGGATCAGCCTAACCTTTCTCAAGTAACCTGGTCCAGATGGATAATATATAGATTCAACCAAGGCTTGAAGCGGAACACAATTAACCTGTTAACTCACAGCAAAAAGCTTTTCCGACTCGAACATCCTTAAGTTTTTAAATGGAAATTTACAGAATGTAATTTAAAATATTTTAGTTTTAGGATCAATCAGTCAGTAGTATCAATCAGTCGTTAGATCTGCATTATGACAACTACAAAACTAGAGGGACAAAATTCAAGCTTTGTGCCTTTCTAAATGAAACAATTCAGAAAACAAAGCCTTAAGAGTGAAAAACAAAACAAATGATTAAAAACAGGACCTGAACAATCGATGAAAATCGATGATCGGAAAATCGGTTGATTAAATACTGTTGATTAGCATCGATTTGCATCGGCCAATCGATGATCAATCGATAATTACACTTAGGTGGTTGCGAACTTCATCGATTGCCATCGATTGGCACTAAATTCACGTCTCCGTATCTTCAGGTATCGCGGGAGTGTACGCAGATCGTATATTATTTTTAAACCTCAGTAGCAAAGTTTGAGAATTGCCAGCTGTTTTGTTGAAGCATAACAGTGAGGCTGATTTTCTTACACACAAATCCGTAGTACGTTTCTATGAATTTTAAACTCGCGCGAAACGTGTGAGCGAATAAGCAAGTTTACGCGTTGCTACTCGCTAGTTTTTACTCAAATAAAAAGCAATGATATCAAATGTGTAACTTTATTAGTACTCGATGAAATTGACAATTGAAATGTTTGACTGAATAGGTAATCGATTGATATTGCATATTGATAACAATCTATTATGTTAATTGATCGATTCCCATCGATTATCGATTTATATTGATAATCGATGATAATCAATAATCACAAAAATTTTCGTGATCGATTGTCCATCGATTATCAATATCAATCGATTAATTGATATCGATTGCCATCGATTATCGATTTCATCGATTGGTCAGGTCCTGTTAAAAAAGGAGATCATTTAAAATCTCAAAATCACAGTGTAAACTGAAAAGCAAATTGCAGTACTTACAATGAAGGTTAATTGCATAAGGGCACCCACGTTTAACAACAAAAAACTTTTATTGACTGTACAGTTTAACTAAATCTATTAAAAGCCTATTGCCAACCTTGATACATTGCGCGCAGTGGACAAAAAAAATCCAGCGAATTTCTTATTACACGAAATTACTGATAGTTGTGAAAGGCTTATTGTTATGTTACAACAGTTATTCAGCGCTGTTACGAGAACACACGCGCACGCATGCCATGTGCTTTTTGAGTGTTCTGAGATATCGCCATGTTTGTTGATTAAACTATTGGACTGTTGCGATATAGAACGAGTCTATTCTCTGTCGTGAGACACAACACATACCGTATTTATTCGATTAACCACCCTGGGCGCTTATTAAATTTTTGGACCTTGAGAGTGGGCGCTTATTCGAGGTGGGCGCTTATTCGAATAAATACGGTATTTCAAAGATTTTGTGTCGGTTCGAACGGCTCAGGCTATCCGTTCGAAGCAAATTGTCATCCGTTCGAACCGCTCTGGCTCTCCGCTCGAAAAAAAACTTGTCATCCGTTCGAGCGGCTCGAGTTATCCGTTCAAAACAATACGCCGATTCAGGAAAAAACTAGAAATTGGGTGGAAGCGAGGCCAAAGGGCCCTTGGCGGCTTTTGCCGGTAAAAACAAATGCGCTCTCGAAAATGTTTTGGGCTCTCATTCGATCTCCTAATCAAAATGGCGACATTGCACCAAGATCCTTGCAAGCAAAATAAAACGAAAACTAATCATAAGACATGTGCTGCTGCCATGTGCAACAACCTCAGTGAAAATAGGCCGGATCATACCTACCACAAATTTCCGTCCGATCCTGAAACAAGAGTAGAAGATGAGAAATTCTCCTGATCATCCGAAGAGGAGATCAGAAGTTTAAAAGCGTTGAGAGTAAGTATTGTTGTTTAGAGCATTTCGCACCAAACGATTACAAAATTAGTCTCACCGAAAGGACTTTAAAAAAGGAGCCATGCCCTCCAATTTTCCTGGGTCTTCAGCCGAATCACATGTTAGAGAAGAACGTGTAAGGTTGCGGACACAAGCAAAAATATCGCATAAGGAAAGAAAATGTCAGAAGAATCGCCATTGAGCGATGAAGTGCAAGATTCTGTTAATTTTATAGGTCCTCCAAAGATCGAATAATTTGCTGAAGCGGAATGTTTAGAAGTAGAAATCCTAAAAAGGAACTTTCTAAAGCAAGAGAGAAAGAGTATGTTTTCACCTTTGGTCTTGAACGCTTCCCAAAAACCCGATGATATTCACTTGTACACTGGGTTTCCAGATTGTGAAACACTTATAGCATTTTGGAAGTATATAGATTAAGTATATAGAACCAAGCGCATCCCATCTAACTTACAGTGTGAGAGATGCCACTCAAGTAAATACCGATGAGGTTTTTCTATTCTTAAATACCCCTGGAAAAAAATCCCTGGCAGGAATGTAGTGCACAGCGAAGTCGTCAGCCTAAAGATGAATTTTGGCTGTCTTAGCTTGACTTAGACTTGGTCTTTTTTAGTGTGATTTGGCTTTCAGGTTTAACATATTTATATCCACAGTTTTTGACATCATGATTACCTATAGTAATTATCTGTTTGTAATGCTGGGAAGCTTTCCAGTGTGGGTGTCAAAAGATGTCATAAAGCAACATCTCCCTACAGCCTTTCAAGGAAAATTTGAAAATGTACGCTGCGTCATTGACTGCACTGAGATTAAGTACGAGAAACCGGGAGATCTCCAAAAACAGAGTGAGTTTTATTCAGTCAAAGGACTGATTGGAATTTCACCTAATGTTTGGGTTACGTTTGTCAGTAGCCTTCTTGGGGGCAGCATTTCAGATAGGCGAATCATAGAAAAAACTCATTTTGTTGACTTGCTGGAACAGGGTGATCTTGTTATGGCTGACCGTGGATTTGACATACGAGACTTGATGGCAGTAAAACCCGCTAAGTTATTAATACCACCCAAAAGGCAGTCAGACTGTTTTGAAACAGTGAGAATAGTAAATGTAAGAATCCACGTAGAAATGGCCATCAGACGTGTAAAAGGTGGCACATATTTGACCAAGTACTCCCCCTAAGCATGGCTGGGGTTGTGAATCAAGTCTGGACATTGTGTTGTTTACTTACTAACTGGCAAGCACCTGCTCTGACCCTTTGTGTACAATAATCAAATAATGATCACAAAGTAAAGAAAGAAATAAGATGACAACTATAATTACTAGTGGTGTATTTTTTAGAGTTAGAAATAAACTTGGAAAGTTATTTTTCTTTGCTGCAAATTAATATATGTTATTCACCGGCTGGGAGGTCCGTATTGGGAGAAACTGTGCCCGAGGTCGTGAGTACGGCCGAGGGCGGTACTCAGACCGAGGGCACAGTTTCTCCCAATACGGACCGACCTAGGCCGGTGAATAACATTTTTATTTTTTTCCTACTGAGATTTAAGAGTTTCAGGAAAATTTTACTTTAGCCTCCAACCTATGAGTGTTGAAGAAGGGCGCGTTCGTGTTGATGTTAGTGAGCTTACGAACCGACGACTTTCGCACGACGCCGCCGTTGGGTCACGTCATAGTTCTGCGTTGACGTCCTGTAGAAATTTGAATTTACGATTCGTAGTAAAGACAACGACGTTGGTGCGCGAAGCTGGCAAATTTTCTTGCCGTTTTTGAAGTTTTGTTTCTTCTTTTCACAAGTAAGCTTGTTTGTTCAACCAAGATGTCTAAGCTCATAAGAGAAGCGAGAACTCGTATTGTAGACGCTTATGGAAACAGATTTATATAGGACCGAGTATTTCACTGTATTTGTACTTGTATGCGTTTCGTCAACCAACTCAGAGTTAACTACGGATTTAGACGAGACAACAAAGGACGAATGCAAGGCTCGTTTATATACAGGGAGGGCATTTATAAACTTGCTGAACAGCTGTAGTTACTGTGATGAGATAACCACTTGCAATGGTCTAGTCGTAGCTTTGGTACCATCTTGCCAATATGGTTTCACTCGGTGTTAATTTATGTTTGTCTACAGCTACGCTATGGTGCTATGCTAGCTATGGTGTTGATTCTTCGGGTCGTTACTCCAATGAAAACAGACAAACAAATCGAAAACATATGTAAAGAACATGTACCTAATGTTATACTTGAATGATCTGGAAAAATCCGCTGAAGTATGATGGGAAAACTTTGAAAATTCGTCTCACGTTCTGCTTTTTCTAAGACGCCAGCGAATCGCTGTCAACAACGGCTTCGACTTTGGCGCGACGCAGGCAAGTGCCCAGATAAGCATGCGCAGTAAGCCTCTCACGCAGTCCAACGGCGGCGTCGTGCGATAGTCGTCAATTCGTAAGCTCCCTGTTATTCAAACTGATCGCGCGATCGATCGCAAACCAAGACAAAACATTACAACATGATTTTTAACTTGTAATTTATATTATCACTATTAAGCTGTCTTAAGAATAAAGAAAGGTTTTTGTGTCTTGGTAGGCAATTCATAATCTGAGTGTCAACCCAGGATAAAAGAATTGACGAACTTAAAAGCCACAGGAAAGAAAATACATCAAAGATTTTCTTCGGCTGAATATTTACTTTAAGATTAATTCAATCGAGCGGGATAAAAACTGCACAAAAGCTTTATAAAAAGAGCTAATTACACATACCAATCTTGGGGTTTTGAAGTGAATTCGAATAAAAGAAGGCGATGTGGGTGACTAAACAATTATATAAACAGAAATAAAAACAGCAATAACTGACTGCTGGAAAAGTTGTTCGTGTTGTTTATTCAAGATTGAAAGCTACATGCAACGTTGACAACAACCTTTTCTGAAAAGTAGAAAACTAGCGAGGCAAAATTCAATGAAAAACGGCAGAATCTAGATTCAGACAGCAAAAATGGGAAACAAACCTACAAACAGTCGAAAAATGTCGAATAAACGGTGCATAAGAGAAAGATTGCAGTACTTTCAGGGTAATTATAAAGCTACCGAAGCGACATCACGAGCCGCCTGTTTTGCTTTACTTTAGCGGTTTTCCTGGCTGACTTGCTTGATTTTCCCTTCAGATGTTTTGTCTGAATAACACAATTCTCTTTTCCCTAACTAACGATAATAGCGCAAGTTTTAAAAGAAAAATGGTTAAAAATCACCGGTTATGCTCATTCACAAACAACAAACAAACTTGTGAATGAAGCTGTCAATGATTCCGCCCGGGTTAGCGGGCAAGATCGTAAAAAACTGCCCGCTCTCGGAACCAATCAGATTGCAGGATTTGGAAGATTCTGCCCGCTCGCAAGCTTAGAACAAAATAAAATTTTATATTGTGCTCTCTTAAGTTACAATTGAATGAATATTTTTTTTTTCAAATTTCTGCTTTTGAGTTGTCAAGTCAGAATTGTTCCTTTTTGGGGGGAGAGGGGAATGGATGGAAGGTATAATATCACACACAATAAACGGTCTATAAACATTTAATTTGTTACAGGTTGTAACATCATAAATCATAATAAGAGATTCTATGCAAGCACGATCAGTTTGAAAAAAAACCTGCGCTAATAATAACAGGACTTGCTTGATTAGCAATGTAAAAGTCATACCTATCTCGGCCAAACTTAACACTAGGGTATGCTAATTCGTGTAAAATGTATTGGTCAAAAAAGTTCTCAAGGTGTACTAACTTTTCCTTCCATCATGCCATATTTAAAGGTACTCGTTGTAGGTGCAATTCTTTTTTGCTCCCTCGAACTACAAATCACACCAAGTTCTCTCTGCAACAAATGCTTGTTGTTGAATTTGGTAGTAATACTGATGGCTCCTGTTAATGATGCCATCTTTGTTACAAATCCCTTCTCTTATTAAGGCCATCTTCAGATTTTCATTTTCTTAAATTTTTATGTTCTTCACCTCAACCAGCCCAAGGGGTTCTCACAGCTTTGATCAGTGACAAGTCCATCAGGTGACGCTCCTTAAAACCCATGGCGTTTAAAAACCAAAAAAACCACAAGACTGGACTTGAAGGTTGGCAATGAGATTTTAAGGCAAATCTGCAGACAACCATATTGAGAGTGATTATTTGTCAGAAACTCTTTCATGACAACCGAGACTATAAAGAATTATTGAACTGCATGAAAACGATAGGTTGACCACAACCTGACCAGAACAGACAACGAATAGCTTTTAAGAGAAAACAACCCAATATAAAACCCATCACGACAGAAAGGCCTTATTCAACCATGACGGATAGAGATGATCAATAGACAATAATGTATAATTGGCCGACACGAAAACGCATTGTAGCACGAGGCAAAAATATTTATACGTTTCAAGATTTTTTCCATTTAATTTTTTATCATTCTTCAACCTAATAAAAAAGGAATTAGTTCGTTTGCATTTTGCATTTTGCGTTCATTTTTTGACCGGAAAATCTACGCATTTTATAAACTAAGCGTGCTAGGCAGGCCAGTTAATTAGGCTCTTCTAGAATTCCGCGGTTGACTTCAACTGATGTCTTTCCCCTTTTCGGCTCCTTCATCTTAAAGGCTAACTCTTTCGTGTGTTGTTAGTTAAGTTGTTGTTGTTATAGTTTAAGAAACAGTCGCTGCTCGGTTGAAAATTTGGCTTTGTTTGTCAAAGTCTTCTCTGCTAAACAAATTCATCATTCATGATCTCGACGGACAAAATTAACGCCAGGATGTTTAATCACTTACACCAATACTAAACACTGGTTCAATAGCACTACGGGATTTCCAGCCAAGGAACAGAAAGGAGTATGTGATAATCCCTCTTTCCCCAGTTTCTGTTCGGCAAAACTCGACTATATTTCATTTTTGCAAGCCGCTTCTACTTGCTTGGATATCATATGAAACACACCAACAAAAACATCAAAAATCAAATCAAGCCAAATCTGCCTGATTATGATGTGCTTCCCTCCGAAACAAAGAACAAAACTTGGGGCAGTATTAGTTACGCATGTTTCTGTAATACTGTCAACGATGTTTACGATGAAATCGTCCACTACAGGAGGAATATATTCAATGTTCCATCGGGTCGCGCAGGGAAGAGTTTCATCGAAGAATTAACCTTCTGGATTAAGCAATTTAATTCAGACTCTGACTTGAACTCGGTCGCTCTTAAAGCATTCATGGTGCTCCCAACTTTGATTTTGCAAAAACCAACCGCTACTTCCAAAAGCAAGGAGCATAGTAAAGCAATAGAGCGTCGATTAGCACTCTGGAAACAAGGGGACATTGATTTGCTGCTTAAAGAAGTGAGGTTCTTTCAAGGGAAATTTGTGAATTCCAAGAAACCTAGAAAGGTTGAAGACATATCCAAAGCCTTCTCAAAGCTGGTTCTGCAAGGAAAATTGACAGCTGCAATGAAACTCCTAGATAACGAGAGCTCGTCCGGTCTGCTCGACCTATCGCCAGATGTCCTGCAAGGGCTACAGGACAAGCACCCACAGGCAGCTGATATCGCAGAGGAGAGTTTGTTACATGGCCCAATTGATTATATTCCGCCAAATGTTTATGACCTCATAGACGAAGAATCGATCTACAACTCGGCAAGTAAAACCAAGGGCTCAGCCGGACCATCTGGAATGGACGCAGAGCTGTATAAGAGAATCCTGTGCTCTAAGAATTTCAAGACCTAGGGCAAAATATTGAGAGAAGAGCTGGCCGTATTCACAAGAAATCTGCTAAGGAAATCGTACCACCCATCCTTACTTGAAGCCTTTACGTCCTACAGGCTTATCCCGCTTGACAAGAACCCGGGAATCAGACCAATTGGTGTTGGAGAGGTACCAAGGAGAATAGTGGGGAAAACGGTCAGCGGTTTCTTAAAGGAGGAAATAAAGGAAGCGGTGGGTCCCCTACAAGTTTGCGCCGGTCATAATGCAGGAGCGGAGGCCGCGATCCATGCAATGAGTCAAGTGTTTGTTGAAGAAGGAACAGATGGAATATTGCTAATTGATGCTAGTAACGCTTTTAACCAAATGAATAGGTCAGCGGCCTTACACAATATCCAGATCATGTGCAAAGAAATGGCGCTCTATGTTATTAACACATATAGAAGCCCATCTAGACTGTTTATTTGTGGGGGAGGTGAAATACTTTCTCGAGAAGGCACCACACAAGGAGACCCGCTAGCAATGCCATGGTACGCACTTAATACATCCATAATGATACAGAATTTGAGGGATCATTGCCCATTGGTTAAACAGGTGTGGCTTGCAGACGACTCAGCTGGAGGAGGGAGTATAGTGCAGTTATACAACTGGTACAGGCAATTGAGTAAGGAAGGTCAAAAGTTTGGTTACCTTGTGAATGGGACAAAGAGCTGGCTTATTGTGAAGTCTAGGGAACTCCGGAGGAAGCAAAGAGGGTGTTTGGAGAGGAAGTCAACATAACGACTGAAGGTCAGCGCCATCTGGGAGCAGTTATTGCGTCGCAAGAATACAAAGATCAGTATTGTGAGGAGAAGGTTCGTGCATGGAAAGAGGAAATCGAACGTCTCTCTGAAATAGCGAATAGCCAGCCCCAAGCGGCGTATATTGCTTTCACAAAAGGCTACAAGTCGAAGTTCACCTACTTCATGCGCACGATTGAATCGTTTGAAGTTTATGTCGATCCAATCCAGGAAGTGATTGAAGATTTACTACTCCCAACTTTGTTCGGTCAATCAGAGCCTCTCCCTAACGAGGTGCGCAGACTCGCTACCTTAGCAACAGGTCAAGGGGGTCTAGGCTTTCCTGATCTGAAATCCGAGGCACCGCAGCAGTTTGCTGCCTCGAGACTAATAACCGCCGCGCACGTAGATTCTATTACTTCACAGAGTTCCATCATGGTGCCAGGAGAAAGATCTACGGAGGAGCTAAAGAGGCATCAACAATCACTTAAAAGAGCAAGTGCCAAAGAGAAAATGGATAGCATTGATTCAAGCCTCTCCCCAGGCCTGCTGCGTCTGGTTAATCAATCGAGGGACAAGGGCGCAAGTTCTTGGCTGAATGCGTTGCCTCTCGCAGACAAAGGTTTAGCCCTCAACAAGCAAGAGTTCAGAGACTCGCTACGCTTGCGTTATGACTTGCCCTTAGTCGATTTACCAAGTCAATGCATATGTGGGGATAAATTCACCGTTAGTCACACCCTCTCTTGTAAAAAGGGGGGGTTTGTAGCGCAGAGACATGACGGTGTACGGAACTTGTTAACGACATTCATCGACAAGATCTGCAATAATGTCGAAATCGAACCACGCCTTCAACCCCTGGACAACGAGCGAAATCATTTGAGGAGCGCTGTTACAAGTTCTGAGGCAAGGTTGGACATCAAAGCTGGAGGTTTCTGGGCAAGAGGAGTTACGGCATTTTTTGATGTTAGAGTTACGCACGTCAACTCCAAATGCTACCAGAGCAAGTCAACATCGGAAGTGTTCAAAGAGCAAGAAGAAGAGAAGAAGCGCAAGTACCAGCAGCGGGATGAAGAAATGGGTTCGTTTACGCCTTTAGTGTTTGGAACCAATGGCGGAATGGGAAACGAGTGTCAGCGGTTCTTAAAGCATCTCGCAGACAAGATAGTCCAGAAAGACACCGAGCCTTATCATGTTGTAATCACTTGGCTCAGGACACAGGTCTCGTTTGAACTCTTAAGATCGGTACATGCATGCGTCAGAGGTTCGCGAACGCCGTTTCGTAGCAAGATAGAGCAATCCTATGATCATTAGACTGTAAAATAAATGCCGCTAGTGCGGATATCTGAACGTGTCTATATGCTTTTACTTAGGGCTTTTTATGGACACTGGTTTAGCCGTCATTAGTATAATTCGATTGTTCGATCTTAATATTTCTGCATAATGGAATTCTTAATTTTATAGAATTTTGAACTTTTATTATTAATTATATCTATTTCCTCTTCCTTTATGTAAGGTTAAGTTACTTCTATTTTTTAGAATTTGTAAATGAATAGTTTTTTCTTTCTTCACTTATTATATATAGGATTGTTTTTGTTCTCTAATGAAGGAAATTGTAGATAGTGTTTTGATGAATTAATTAGATCTTTTGTAACAGCAGGTTGATTGTAAATAGGATTTTAATTGAGGTTTTGTAATAAAGAACATTTTATTAGTATTTGACGATTCACATGATTTTCTGTTTGATTTGTTTCAGTGTTCCCGGCTGCTATCCTCCAGTCGCCATTTTACAACACCCGTTATCCTTGGTAGGTTATTTTTTTAATTGATATGTGTTAAAAGTTCTTAAGCGAAAGAAAGCCTCAGTTTGTGGTTTTTTTTTTTACTACAGGGCGGTATTGTATGGAGGAGTGGGCTCTATTATGGGCCACGAACTGACGCATGGATTTGATGTTCAAGGTAGGTACTATCAGCAGGACACATTTCTCATTTATTTCTTAACAGCCCATTCCCTAATTAGACCCAGTTCTGCTGAAACACTGTGCACCTTCAAAAATGGTCTCTGATATTTTCAGATGGTTTCTCAATAAATTCAGGCCTGACAAACACCTTTCCTACGTACGTCTCCAAGACAAGGACTGTTCAGAGGCCGTACGTGCCATGTTTCAAGCCTAGTTGAGTTTCGGGAAAATGCATTGCTTTGCCCCTTTACAGGATTTTTCCACCACTGAGCTTTTCCACCTAACAAACTATTAAAACAAATTTGTCTAAAATGTTGAAAGCACTTCAGTTATCTACAGCTCCCCAGACACCTGCGAGATGAGATTTAAACGTTAATAAGATGTTTATCAATAAGACTTTTCAAATGTCTGATTGGCAAAAGCAATGGCAGAAATGGGAAGGATCAGCTTCTCAACCCCGAGGAAATTGTAGTTACTCTGGAAAACATAAAAGCACAGTTTGGCGTAAACCTGATCTTGCAGTCTCTGTCTGTCAGCAGAAGAGAAGAAAGTGATACATTTATGTCTGCTGAATATTTGCGAGTGTGTTTTTGTCATTACAACCACCTTCTCGCTACAATGTAAACTTGTGATTGCAAGCTCTCGGCGGCAACGCTCACAATTAACCAAGGGTCGACATATCAGTCCTTTCGGAAAGACTAGAAAGGTTATCAAGTATGTAAAGGGGGTAGCAGCTTAAAGAGCCAAGTATGTTTCCAAGCGTTTTCCTACGATAGCGTTTATTGCAGGAAATCACCATGGTTTCTCTGAGTTACTATGGCACTACGATTCGTTTACGGAGATCTAGCATTGAGTTCAAGAATGATATCGTAAAGTGCAGACATGGTTCGTGGAATTTATTATAATATTTTCAATCCTATACACTAAATGGTATTCTTCTGAAGGATTTGTCACGAGCGCTGCCTCTGGGTATCTTATTAGGGCTTCTTGTACCTCTTTCATTTTTCCGACACCGGGGAACTCGATCAGGTCAGCGTACTCCTCCAGTGATTTTCCTGTGGGTGTTTCCTTTGCTAGAACTGCGTTCACAACCCTCAAATTCGTGGTGCTCTTTAAGTCTATCAATCGTTCAGTGTTATAGTTTCCCTTTTTTGGCTTGGAACGTCAGTGGAGCATTTTGACGCCGACAATTGTATTAAATATTCCAGTTACTTTTAAAGGACCGACGGGCTTTTAAATCTTTCATATGAAAAATCAACATATGTTCTTCATCTTATCTAACCTTTGAAAAATGAACGCTTCCGTAACGTTAACCGTGGCCCCAGCTGAAAACGCCGTTTTCTTGTTCTTATCTTCCCCTTAACCTTTACATTTATTACCACCTAAGTTTCGCGTTTCTTTAACGTAATTTCTGAAACGTGGCCAAGCCAAAGTTGGTCTGAGTCAGGATCAAACGGTCCATAGTTAAGATACCACTGTCAAAAACTCATCTCTGTCGCCAAGTCCTGTGAACAATTTACAAGTTCCATCTTTACTCCCACTAGCCGTTATGTTTTTCTCTTTGTTTGCTATTTTTTCTTGCTGTACATTGCAAATGATGAGCACCTAAAAGAGTTCTCATTTGCCTGCACCCTACTGGCCTTTAAACACAAAATAAAAATGTTGTATAATTTTATTTACAGGAAGGCGATTTGACGTAAATGGAGATGAACGAAACTGGTGGAGCGTAGACACGTTAAAGGCGTTTGAAAAGAAAACAACCTGCTTGAAGGAACAGTACTCCAATTTTACTTTTGATGGAGAAACGGTATGGAAATACCTTGAGTTTGCTTCCGCAGATAACACTTCACTTTGTTCGAATGTTTGACAAAATGGGCACTGATATCATTTATTAGATTGAGGGCGAGCAAACGTTATCAGAGAATATAGCAGACAATGGAGGCATCAGACAGGCATTCAGGGTGAGTTACAAAATTTTTCTCGTTTAACTCGGGTTCACTAGATCTAATGTCTTTGGATATATCTCAGCTCTTAAGCTTTTAGCCCAGTCCCTGTACGACGTCTTTCCAGGCCTGCTCGGTCAATGCATTTCGTTGACGAATACGAGACGAAAGGCTGGAAGAAGCCTAGACAATCTCGGAGTGTACATGTTTGTGTTTTCCCCGCCAGAGTAAGCCTTTCGTGGTGGCTAAGGTCTCGAGGCTCGCTCTCAACCTCCTCTGCAAGAATTTTCTTTATATTTCAAAAAGGATAGTCATGAAAGTATAGAAATAGGTTTATAGAAAGACTCTTTTGGGTTATGGTAAGTTTAGTAAGATAACTGGTTTTAATACTGCATCTATTTTATTGTAAAAGAAGCGTTGGTAGTTGGCTTACTTTAAAGGCGCTCTGAAGGAGGGAGTATCTTCGATTTTTTTTTATGTTTTTTTTTAGGTTGTTTTTAGAAATATCTGATTTATCTTGTAACGGCTGGCGTTCGCAGCCTACGGGTAGTGTAATAGCTTAATATCCCAAATGTTTGAATCGGCCCAGGATTTTATGTCTGTCTATTTGGCAACGGATATAAAGAGCAGGTTGTTTTTCCGCGGTCTTATTGTTAAACACAAGGCAGGACATGGATAACATTCAAGTTCTATGCCTCGAAACTGTTTCTCAAATATCTCGGTGGATGGCTTGAAAACTCTGCAAAAGATTTTGTGGTCCGGAAGGCTCTGGCATGGTCAGCTTGTCACGGGTTGAGGAGAATATGGAAATCAAATTTAAAAAGAAGCATCAAGGAGCGGCTTTTCATGGCCTCTGTAGAGTCTATCCTGCTTTATGGAAGCGAGACGTGGACAATTACGAAAACTATGAAGAAGAAACTAGATGGATGTGATACCAAAATCTTGTATGGTATTTAATGTGTCTTGGCCAGATAAATTGACCAACAAGGAATTATATGGTAATTTACCACCAGTGCAATCAAAAGTGGGCTTCAGAAGGTTGAAGCTAGCCGGTCATAGTGTTAGACACCCGGAGGAGGAAGCATCTAAACTAGTTCTTTAGCAGCCAAAGAATGGACGCATGAACATGGGAAGACCAAAAAAGGATAGTTTAAAGGATAATTTAACCTCGGTTGGTAACGTCTGAGAAGCAGCGCCGAGATCCTTGTTCTGGGCCCCCAACGGACTCAACGAATTACTGCAAATGCGCTGCTAATTTCTTTTCATCCTGATTGGCAAATCGACAATGGCTTTCTTAAGAGGCCAATCAGGTGGGGACTCAAAACAAGGATTTCGGTGCTGTTTCGCAGGCGGACTTAAGGGGGGATTACAGTTGAATTTTGGGGGAATTGCGGTATAGAAGAGAGTATACACGTAAACCAGTAAGTCCACTAATTGGCTCAGGGCCACGTTGTCGTGGTGACGTACTGTCTGGTCTTTATATTAATTATTCACTTCAAATTTTAGTTTTTAACTACCCTTAAATCCAATTTTTTTTAGTTTTTGCATAACTTTGAACATTTGCCATTCAAACTTTTATTGATTACAAATATTTTAATAATCACCAAAAAATTCTCAAAAACTCATCGCTCTGAGGACTTCAGGGAGTGATTTATTTTAAAAATCGAATGACATTTTGACGAGATTTTCAAGGAAAAGTGCTCACGTATAATATAAACAAGGCGTTTAACTGTAATCACCCCTTTTCAACTGTGGCGCAGGCTACTGGCTCAACTGTTACAATAAAGGATACAATGGCCTCAGAAGAGTTTATCCTAATCCCACACATCTCCACCAATGCCAAAGTGTATGGCGGGGGGGGGGGGGGGGGGGGTAAAAGGCCTAATAATTATAAAACAAAGTGTTGTTTTCGATTCCCCCCTTTTTCGACCGGGGGGCGGTCGATTGTGTAAATATTAAAAAAAAAAGAATAAGTGGCGCCAAAAAGATTTATGCCCACACCCACCCCCCCCCCCCCAGCCCAAGTTGGGGGGGGGGGGGGGGGGGGGGGGTTGATATAAAGATGTATCCGGTACTCGCAGTGAACATTGACTCAAAATCTAAAATCATATTTAGGCTGAATATAGGTTATTATCTGGTATACCAAAAGCAAGAGTAACAGCCTCACAAAATATGTAGCCACTGATGACCAACAAAACTGACCTTGAACAGCTCACATTTTGACAATAAATTAATACCGTATATTTAAAAATGATGATATCAGTTTTAATTATCACTTAAGCCCCATTTACACGACACTCATTTTGGGTCCGGCACTCCTAAAAATGGGCACGCGGGCCAATACTTTTGGCACGGCCCGCCTATTTTTTTGCCTTGTAAATGCAAAGGCATCAACAAACAGTCTATAACT